GAATTGTAGAATTGTAATGTAGTAACATCTGACCTCATCACGATGAACTATGACAGCCCTGATAAATATATGTATGAATAATAAAGTATAGCGCCCCCTGCTGGTCTCATGCAGGCTCTGGTGGACTGGACGGACGTCCAGGTGCAGCACGAGCTGATGAGAGGTCTGGAGGACAACTCGTTCTTCAGGTCGTGTGTGTGTGAGATGCTGCGTGTGGTGATGGATGAGGGCTGCTCCACCCAAAGCTCCGCCCTCTCTTACCTGGGACAGAGATTCAGAGTGAAGATGAGTCTACCTGAGTGGTACACGCACGAGCAGTGTGCACGCTACCTGATCGAGTGAGTATAACCGAATATACACAATAAACACTACACATTGAATATACACAACAAATACTACACACTGAATATACACAACAAATACTACACACTGAATATACACAACAAATACTACACACTGAATATACACAATAAACACTACACACTGAATATACACAATAAACACTACACATTGAATATACACAACAAATACTACACTGAATATACACAACAAATACTACACACTGAATATACACAACAGACACTACACACTGAATATACACAACAGACACTACACACTGAATATACACAACAAACACTACACACTGAATATACACAACAAACACTACACACTGAATATACACAACAAACACTACACACTGTGTTACCGTGTGTGTGTTACTGTGTGTGTTTCTGTGTGTCACAGTGTGTGTGTGTGTGTGTGTGTTATATCTTTGTGTTTCTGTGTGTCTGTGTTTCTGTGTGTGTGTGTGTGTGTGTGTGTGTGATCTTTGTGTTTCTGTGTGTGTGTGTGTGTGTGTTATATCTTTGTTTCTGTGTGTCACAGTGTGTGTGTTATATCTTTGTGTTTCTGTGTGTGTTATATCTTTGTGTTTCTGTGTGTGTGTGTGTTATATCTTTGTGTTTCTGTGGTGTGTGTGTTATATCTTTGTGTTTCTGTGTGTGTGTTATATCTTTGTGTTTCTGTGTGTGGTGTTATCTTTGTGTTTCTGTGTGTGTGTGTTATATCTTGGTGTTTCTGTGTGTGTGTGTGTGTGTTATATCTTTGTGTTTCTGTGTGTGTGTGTGTGTGTGTGTGTGTGTGTGTGTGTGTTATATCTTTGTGTTTCTGTGTGTGTGTGTTATATCTTTGTGTTTCTGTGTGTGTGTGTGTGTGTGTTATATCTTTGTGTTTCTGTGTGTGTGTGTGTGTGTGTTATATCTTTGTGTTTCTGTGTGTGTGTGTGTGTGTGTTTTATATCTTTGTGTTTCTGTGTGTGTGTGTGTGTGTGTGTGTTATATCTTTGTGTGTCTGTGTGTGTGTGTTATATCTTTGTGTTCTGTGTGTGTGTGTTATATCTTTGTGTTTCTGTGTGTGTGTGTGTGTTATATCTTTGTGTTTCTGTGTGTGTGTGTGTGTGTGTGTGTGTGTTATATCTTTGTGTTTCTGTGTGTGTGTGTGTGTGTGTGTGTTATATCTTTGTGTTTCTGTGTGTGTGTTATATCTTTGTGTTTCTGTGTGTGTGTGTGTGTGTTATATCTTTGTGTTTCTGTGTGTGTGTGTGTGTGTTATATCTTTGTGTTTCTGTGTGTGTGTGTGTGTGTGTGTGTGTGTTTTATATCTTTGTGTTTCTGTGTGTGTGTGTGTGTGTGTGTGTGTGTGTGTTATATCTTTGTGTTTCTGTGTGTGTGTGTTATATCTTTGTGTTTCTGTGTGTGTGTGTTATATCTTTGTGTTTCTGTGTGTGTGTGTGTGTTATATCTTTGTGTTTCTGTGTGTGTGTGTGTGTGTGTGTGTTATATCTTTGTGTTTCTGTGTGTGTGTGTGTGTGTGTGTTATATCTTTGTGTTTCTGTGTGTGTGTTATATCTTTGTGTTTCTGTGTGTGTGTGTGTGTGTTATATCTTTGTGTTTCTGTGTGTGTGTGTGTGTGTTATATCTTTGTGTTTCTGTGTGTGTGTTATATCTTTGTGTTTCTGTGTGTCACAGTGAGTGTATCCTGATCCACCTGCGCTCTGACATAGAAAAGTTTCACCTGCTGTGTATGATGACCAGGAAGCTGTTCACCTTTGCTAAACAGGAGTGTTTAGAGGAAAACCCAGACAGCATTATGTGTCAGGAGATTCTGACTCCAGGTCAGCTGTACCTCATGTTCCTGAAGGTGAGACTATACCTGAGTGAGAGATGAGCTGATCTAAACATTTAAACTTGACAGTAGTCCATCAGACCGCGTTCAGATTTTTAACTGCTTTCTTTATCTATATGGTCAAATCAAACCACGCCCCCCCCCCCCCCCCCCCCCCAGGAGCGCCTGGCGGCCTGGTTGGTGTCGGTGAAGCTCTCCTTTGATAAGCGGGGAAGCAGACTCAGTGGAGGCTGGACTGCTGAGAACGTGTTGAAGATCTTCAACACGGGCTCTGACCTCACTAAACCCTTCGAGTACCTGCTCGCCACGGGGAACCTGAACTCAAAAACCGGTACTGACCACGGGCCTGTTACTTCCTGTTTATAATACAGACTTCCTGCCTGTAGTAACTAGTTCTTTGTGTTCAGGTCTGGGCATGCTCCAGAACACTGGGCTGTGCGTCGTCGCTGACAAACTCAACTTCATCAGATACCTGTCTCACTTCCGCTGCGTGCACCGAGGAGCCGCCTTCGCCAAGATGAGGACCACGTCTGTCCGGAAACTTCTTCCTGAGTCGTGGGGCTTCCTGTGTCCCGTCCACACGCCCGACGGCGAGCCCTGCGGACTCATGAACCACATGACGGCCAGCTGTGAGATCGTAGCTCAGAGTCTTTCAACCGTCAGTCTACCGACTCTGCTCTGCTTGCTCGGTTAGTCCACGGATCAAACTAACCTGATGACTGAAGGATGGGTGATGGATGGATGACTGATGGATGGGTGATGGATGGATGATGGATGGATGACTGATGGATGACTGATGGATGGATGGATGATGGATGGATGATGGATGGATGACTGATGGATGGTTGGATGGATGGTTGGATGGATGGATGACTGATGGATGACTGATGGATGGATGACTGATGGATGGTTGGATGGATGGATGACTGATGGATGGATGATGGATGGATGATGGATGGATGACTGATGGATGACTGATGGATGGATGGATGATGGATGGATGATGGATGGATGACTGATGGATGGTTGGATGGATGGATGACTGATGGATGGATGATGGATGGATGATGGATGGATAACTGATGGATGGATGGATGACTGATGGATGGATGGATGGATGGATGGATGGATGATTGATGACTGATGGATGGGTGATTGATTGATGGATGGATGATGGATGGATGGATGATGGATGGATGACTGATGGATGGATGACTGATGGATGGTTGGATGGATGGATGACTGATGGATGGATGATGGATGGATGACTGATGGATGACTGATGGATGGATGGATGGATGATGGATGGATGACTGATGGATGGTTGGATGGATGGATGACTGATGGATGGATGATGGATGGATGATGGATGGATGACTGATGGATGACTGATGGATGGATGGATGATGGATGGATGATGGATGGATGACTGATGGATGGTTGGATGGATGGATGACTGATGGATGGATGATGGATGGATGATGGATGGATAACTGATGGATGGATGGATGACTGATGGATGGATGGATGGATGGATGGATGATTGATGACTGATGGATGGGTGATTGATTGATGGATGGATGACTGATGGATGACTGATGGATGGATGGATGACTGATGGATGACTGATGGATGGATGACTGATGGATGGATGATGGATGTATGATTGATTGATGGCTGGATGGAGGACGGACGGATGGATGGATGGATGGATGACGGATGGATGGATGGATGATTTATGGATGATTTATGGATGGGTGATGGATGGATGGATGACTGATGGATGGATGATGGATGGATGATTTATGGATGGGTGATGGATGGATGGATGACTGATGGATGGATGGATGACTGATGGATGGATGATTTATGGATGGGTGATGGATGGATGGATGACTGATGGATGGATGGATGACTGATGAATGGGTGATGGATGGATGGATGACTGATGGATGGATGATGGATGGATGACTGATGGATGGATGGATGGATGGATGATTGATGGATGATTGACTGATGGATGGGTGATGGATGGATGGATGACTGATGGATGGATGGATGACTGATGAATGGGTGATGGATGGATGGATGACTGATGGATGGATGACTGATGGATGGATGGGTGATGGATGGATGGGTGATTGATTGATGGATGGATGACTGATGGATGACTGATGGATGGATGACTGATGGATGGATGGATGGATGACTGATGGATGGATGGATGATGGATGGATGATTGATTGATGGCTGGATGGAGGACGGATGGATGGATGGATGGATGATTTATGGATGATTTATGGATGGGTGATGGATGGATGGATGGATGGGTGATGGATGGATGGATGACTGATGGATGGATGGATGACTGATGAATGGGTGATGGATGGATGGATGACTGATGGATGGATGATGGATGGATGACTGATGGATGGATGACTGATGATGGATGGATGGATGGATGGATGACTGATGGATGGATGGATGATTGATGGATGGATGATTGATGACTGATGGATGGGTGATTGATTGATGGATGGATGGATGGATGACTGATGGGTGGATGGATGGATGACTGATGGATGGATGATTTATGGATGGGTGATGGATGGATGGATGACTGATGGATGGATGATTGATGACTGATGGATGGGTGATTGATTGATGGATGGATGGATGATGGATGGATGACTGATGGATGGATGACTGATGGATGGATGGATGGATGGATGATTGATGACTGATGGATGGGTGATTGATTGATGGATGGATGGATGACTGATGGATGGATGACTGATGGATGGATGGATGAATGATTGATGACTGATGAATGGGTGATGGATGGATGGATGGATGGATGATTGATGACTGATGGATGGGTGATTGATTGATGGATGGATGACTGATGGATGGATGGATGGATGGATGGATGGATGATTGATGGATGGATGGATGACTGATGGATGGATGATGGATGGGTGATTGATTGATGGATGGATGATTGATTGATGGCTGGATGGAGGACGGATGGATGGATGGATGGATGGATGACGGATGGATGGATGGATGGATGATTTATGGATGATTTATGGATGGGTGATGGATGGATGGATGACTGATGGATAGATGATGGATGGATGGGTGATGGATGGATGGATGACGGATGGATGGATGACTGATGAATGGGTGATGGATGGATGGATGGATGACTGATGGATGGATGATGGATGGATGACTGATGGATGGATGACTGATGGATGGATGGATGACTGATGGATGGATGGATGATTGATGGATGGATGATTGATGACTGATGGATGGGTGATTGATTGATGGATGGATGGATGACTGATGGATAGGTGGATGGATGGATGACTGATGGATGGATGATTTATGGATGGGTGATGGATGGATGGATGGATGACTGATGGATGGATGATTGATGACTGATGGATGGGTGATTGATTGATGGATGGATGACTGATGGATGGATGATTTATGGATGGATGGGTGATTGATTGATGGCTGGATGGATGGATGGATGGATGATTTATGGATGGGTGATGGATGGATGATTGATTGATTGATTGATTGATGGATGGATGGATGATTGATTGATGGCTGGATGGAGGATGGATGGATGATTTATGGATGGGTGATGGATGGATGGATGATGGATGGATGATTTATGGATGGGTGATGGATGGATGATTTATGGATGGGTGATGGATGGATGGATGACTGATGAATGGGTGATGGATGGATGGATGACTGATGGATGGATGATGGATGGATGACTGATGGATGGATGGATGATGGATGGATGATGGATGGATGATTGATGGATGGATGATTGATGACTGATGGATGGGTGATTGATTGATGGATGGATGGATGGATGACTGATGGATGGGTGGATGGATGGATGACTGATGGATGGATGATTTATGGATGGGTGATGGATGGATGGATGACTGATGGATGGATGGATGGATGACTGATGGATGGGTGATTGATTGATGGATGGATGATGGGTGATTGATGACTGATGAATGGGGGATGGATGGATGGATGGATGGATGATTGATGACTGATGAATGGGTGATGGATGGATGGATGATTGATGACTGATGGATGGGTGATTGATTGATGGATGGATGACTGATGGATGACGGATGGATGGATGGATGATTTATGGATGATTTATGGATGGGTGATGGATGGATGGATGACTGATGGATGGATGATGGATGGATGATTTATGGATGGGTGATGGATGGATGGATGACTGATGGATGGATGGATGAATGGATGATGGATGGATGACTGATGGATGGATGGATGACTGATGGATGGATGGATGATTGATGGATGGATGATTGATGACTGATGGATGGGTGATTGATTGATGGATGGATGGATAGATGACTGATGGATGGGTGGATGGATGGATGATTTATGGATGGGTGATGGATGGATGGATGACTGATGGATGGATGATTGATGACTGATGGATGGGTGATTGATTGATGGATGGATGACTGATGGATGGATGATTTATGGATGACTGATGGATGGATGATGGATGGGTGATTGATTGATGGCTGGATGGAGGACGGATGGATGGATGATTTATGGATGGGTGATGGATGGATGGATGATTGATTGATGGATGGATGGATGGATGGATGGATGATTGATTGATGGCTGGATGGAGGATGGATGGATGGATGATTTATGGATGATTTATGGATGGGTGATGGATGGATGATTTATGGATGGGTGATGGATGGATGGATGACTGATGAATGGGTGATGGATGGATGGATGACTGATGGATGGATGATGGATGGATGACTGATGGATGGATGACTGATGGATGGATGATGGATGGATGATTGATGACTGATGGATGGATTGATGACTGATGGATGGATGATTTATGGATGGGTGATGGATGGATGGATGACTGATGGATGGATGATTGATGACTGATGGATGGGTGACTGATGGATGGATGGATGACTGATGGATGACTGATGGATGGATGATTTATGGATGACTGATGGATGGATGGAGGATGGATGGATGGATGGATGATTTATGGATGGGTGATGGATGGATGGATGATGGATGGATGATTTATGGATGGGTGATGGATGGATGACTGATGGATGGATGGATGGATGATGGATGGATGGATGACTGATGGATGGATGATTTATGGATGGATGATGGATGGATGGATGACTGATGAATGGGTGATGGATGACTGATGGATGATGGATGACTGATGGATGGGTGACGGATGGATGATTGATGGGTGACTGATGGATGGATGATTTATGGATGGGTGATGGATGGATGGATGACTGATGAATGGGTGATGGATGGATGATGGATGACTGATGGATGGATGGATGACTGATGGATGGGTGACGGATGGATGATTGATGGATGACTGATGGATGACTGATGGATGGATGATTTATGGATGAGTGATGGATGGATGGATGACTGATGAATGGGTGATGGATGGATGACTGATGGATGACTGATGGATGGATGGATGACTGATGAATGGGTGATGGATGGATGACTGATGGATGGCTGACTGATGAATGGGTGATGGATGACTGATGGATGACTGATGGATGGATGATTTATGGATGAGTGATGGATGGATGGATGACTGATGAATGGGTGATGGATGGATGACTGATGGATGACTGATGGATGGATGGATGACTGATGAATGGGTGATGGATGGATGACTGATGGATGGATGACTGATGGATGGCTGACTGATGAATGGGTTATGGATGACTGATGGATGATGGATGACTGATGGATGGATGGATGACTGATGAATGGGTGATGGATGGATGACTGATGGATGGATGATGGATGACTGATGGATGGATGGATGACTGATGGATGGGTGACGGATGGATGACTGATGGATGGATGATTTATGGATGGGTGATGGATGGATGGATGACTGATGAATGGGTGATGGATGAATGACTGATGGATGGATGATGAATGGGTGATGGATGGATGACTGATGGATGGATGGAAGGATGACTGATGAATGGGTGATGGATGGATGACTGATGGATGACTGATGGATGGCTGACTGATGGATGGGTGATGGATGGATGATTGATGGATGACTGATGGATGGGTGATGGATGGATGACTGATGGATGGGTGATGGATGGATGATTGATGGGTGACTGATGGATGGATGGATGATTGATTGATGACTGATGGATGACTGATGGATGGATGACTGATGGATGGGTGACTGATGGATGGGTGATGGATGGATGATTGATTGATGACTGATGGATGACTGATGGATGGATGACTGATGGATGGGTGATGGATGGATAATTGATGGGTGACTGATGGATGACTGATGGATGACTGATGGATGATGGATGATTGATGGATGATTGATGGATGATAGATGGATGATGGTTGGATGAATGGTTGGATGACTGATCCAGTGTGGTGATGTTTCAGGTGTGACCCCGGTGGACGGTTCACCTGGTCGTGCGTTCTCAGACTGTTACCCGGTGGTGCTGGACGGGGCCGTGGTGGGTTGGGTGGAGGAGGATCTGGCTCAGGTGGTGGTGGACTCCATTCGCAGGTTTAAGGTAGGACAGCTGACTCTGAACACCACTGACTACCTGCACAGGTGGCTGAGGTTTAACCTTTGACCCTTAAGGTGCTGAAGGAGAAGAAGATCCCTCCGTGGACTGAGGTGGTTCTGGTTCCTAAGACGGGTAAGTCCAGTCTGTACCCGGGTCTGTTCCTGTTCACCACACCCTGCAGGATGGTCCGCCCCGTCAGGAACCTGAGTCTGGGGAGGCAGGAGCTGATCGGGACCTTCGAGCAGGTATACAGGTGTTTCATATCTCACAGTTTGTTGAGTATTGATTATTGATGGTTCTTCTTCTGGTCTAGTGGGTTAGGGTTAGGGTTAGTCTGCGATCTGCGATGCAAGCTGTCATGCTTCTTGCTGCCGGCGAGCACGGTCCCGCGAATGTTAAGTTGTTTCTGATTGCGGTCAGAGCGGTCTGATTGCTCAACACAGCCTGAAGAAAGTACTTCACGGTCGGCACAAACTCGTCTGTGTTGCTACAAAAATCTTGGAGGTGCTCGGCTGGGCGCTCAGACTCTCCGCACCCGCGGACCATTCTCGCACCGACCGTAAGAAGCATGAAACCTGATTCAATGAGTCAATGTGCAGCACATGGATAATTTCCATAACGTTACATTTCTGTGAAAACACTGTGGAAAGATTTGGAGTCTGGTTAGCAAGCCAGCCTTTCTGTTCAACATCCTGTCTGATCATATTTACTGTTTGGTATCCAGAGGTGAAGAGAGAGAGAAATGTGTGCTAGCTGAAGGTAACTTCATACAGCTTTCTGGTTCATTATCTCAGGAAACATTAAAGTGACAGAAAATGTGACAGTGTCAACACATGTAATAAGAGAGGGAATATAAACTTAATGAAAATCAGCAGGAGATAAAACATCAGGTTCATATATTGATAGTGTTAC